TCATGGAACATGATCTTTACTTAATATCCTAATGATTTTTGGCATAAAAGAAAAATCGATAATTTTGACCCATGCAATGTTTTTTGGCTATTGCTACAAATATACCCCAGCGACTTAAGACTGCTTTTGTGCTCCAGGGCCACATTCAGTAAGAAACACAAGTTTGCAATATCAAGCAGCAAAAACTTCTGTTTCGTACAGATAAAAATACGTACAGACATATTCAATTTACAAATGGATCTTATGGGAAAAATAAGGTGGAGAGTCAAAACAGACAGATGAGACGCACACTTGTGACTCACAATTATTGGCGACCAAAATCCTTACTGTGTAACTGTACCACAATTGTTGTGTAAGAGAGGAATGGTGTTTAGTTTAGCACATGTACCGATATCTCTCTTCTTACAGGTGGAGCTTGCCTTATGGGATACGGCTGGACAGGAGGACTATGATCGGTTAAGACCTCTCTCCTACCCCGACACAGATGTCATTCTTATGTGCTTTTCCATCGACAGTCCCGATAGCTTGGGTAAGACGTCCTCATAAACAATTAGATGTTACCAGCCCAATCATCACTCTTTAGATCTTAATGTTGATAAAAGATTCAAGTCGGCATGAGATGAAAATGAACCTTATGTATTTTCTGAATGGATTGACCATTTTGTGAATGATTCATCCATGCACATTTCTTTTTTTTTTTTTAATGTTTGACCTCCTAATTTTTAATCAAAATATCGTAACTCAATTTTCCGGTGAAATAACTATAATTTAGTCTGCTTAAACCTGCCCCTGCAAGCTTACATTCATCAACCTCTGTTTTTAAGAGCAGCACCCATTATTTATTTATTTTTTTATAATTCATTACATTCAGATGTGTGGCACAATCCGGAAGAAAAGATCTGTCAATATTTGAGTTTCATTCCTACTTTAAAGCCAGAATGAAATGAATTTCTTGAAAATTACTTGATTGTACGTCACAATACAGAAGAATGATCTGTCAATAATTCCGTTTCCTCTCGACCTTAAATGCGTTTCTCGTAGTGTAAAAACCAGTCAGCTAAGAATACAGTGTTTTAATGAACTGAATCATGAAACCTTCACTTGTGGTTTAAACACAAGGCTTTCACATCAAAGTGACAAATTTAATGAAGCAGCAGTTTAGCTATGAAGCAGAACTGGATTTTTGCATTTGCTGTAAAAGATTGCATACAATTAAACATTTAGCATGAATTTGAGATAGTTAGCAGTTCTTTTTTAATTAAGTTATTTTTTCGGTTCTATTTTAATAATCAGGTCTTTGCTGGGTATGTGATTAACACATTGAGTATGTTGATCTGTGCAATGAAATGCTGATAAGTCAAAAATCAGCTATGTAAGAGAACTGCATTTTCAAGAATGATCCGGTTTTCATCTGGTCTTTACATCAAACGTAAACAGACATGCGCATTGAATAAGTACAAAAATTAGGTAATGGGCAAAGATCGAGGTGGTAATTTTCAGTTTCAGTTTTTATTAACTTTCTGAAAAAAAACTTCACCATTTTGCTATAAACAATATAAATTGATTTACTCCGCTAAGCCATTAAATGTTTGTCATGATTGCGAAATAAGGTTAATAAATGATTTATAATGTGGTTAATACAATTATTTCTCTCTCTCTCTCTCTCTCTCTCTCTCTCTCTCTCTCTCTCCTTTAATCCATTACAGAGAATATTCCAGAAAAGTGGACACCAGAGGTGAAGCATTTCTGTCCGAATGTTCCCATCATCCTCGTTGGTAACAAAAAGGATCTCCGAAACGATGAGCACACACGAAGGGAACTTGCCAAAATGAAACAGGCAGGGCCTTTTTACTTTGTAAAATGTATGATTCTTAAAGGTATCGTTCACCCAAAAATGAAACTTTGCCCAAAATTTACTCACTCTCAAGCCATCCAAGATATAGATGAAGTTGTTTCTTCATCAGATTTTGAGAAATGTAGCATTACGTCACTTGTTCACCAATGGATCCTCTGCAGTGAATGGGTGCCGTCAGAATGAGAGTCCAAACAGCCGATAAAAA